AGCCCTAACGTACATCCTTAACGCGTTCGATCCTGAGCGATACGCCTCGTTAACTCCTATTTGGCAATATTGACATTATTCAAAACGTTGTAAAACAAGAACTATCGTACACGTCAGTTTGAAATTGAGAAAATATTGTACTATGGTCTTTTCTCTTTAAATCTGTATATATTTTATGATCGTTTGATTGTAAGATGGTAGTGAGATTGGAATTCAAAGGAACACGTGTTGTCGATTTTATATAATTTTGTGGAAAGTAACAAAGTTACAAAATATGGGGGAAACGCAGTGAACTTCATGTGTCAACAATACTGGTGCACTATAATTATATTTTGTTGAAGTTCAGATTTAGTTTCATTTTTATTATTGTATTTATTTCTGCCTTTTTTAGAGGTATAGTGTGGAAAAAATGATGAAAAATAATCTACATATACTGTGGTAAAAAATAATGAAAAATAATGTAGTACAGTTGTCTTCATTTACAATGTTATTTCACTGGTTTTCTCAAACACTGGGAATTCAGATTGTTTATCAATTTCACAGCATTATGAAGGAAATGAAATCTCTTGACATTGAGAAGACTCAACATTCCCCTTATTATTACCCTCCTCGATATAATTTTCATTGCTGAAACTATATAACAGTGCAGGAAATAATCGACGTCCTCATCAGAAAAATCCAATTTTGATCCATTATTCAAAAACTCTTGAACTTCTAATGTTGAGTAACAGTGAATTTTACATCGATGTCTTTTAAACATCTGTGTATATCGCTAAAAGCACGAACACTACTGACAAAGATAAGCATTCTGAACGTCATCGACAGTGGCCGAAAATATCAACATCCAATCGCTTCCTGGAAATATTCCAAATACTTGCACAAAATAGAAGCACATATTGATATTTATCCTGCGACCACCTTCATAATATTACATAGCGTATTCAAGATGCTTGCGAAGGACCGAAATATATTTATGGCCTGTCACAAACGATAAATGTAGACGGACATATGCCAAACGTCCATAGGACACGACATTAAAATGAAGATAACGTATCAGATACGTCCGTAGGATCGAAAGTGTTAATTAACCATGATTTACGACCTAAATGTTCACCTTGCAAACAATAGAGATTTAATGATGAATTACTAAAATGTTTCGTGTTAGATTTATTCTCTCCTCACGAGCCAGAACGTCAGCCCTAAACCTGTCAATTTCAGCGCACTGAACATTCAACTTGCTGAAGGTGCATTTCCAGGCCGGTGGCCTTCTCGAAGGCCTCGCCCTCATTTCCTTTCGCGGCCGCCCACGCGCTTTCAATGCCTCGGGATAGATATGATCGTGAACTGTACCGCCGCTCGTTGCCACGTTAGCTTAGAAACCTCGGGTCTCGTCCGCCTTGCCTTCCCTTCCGGCGCTACGATTGCTTCGACGGCCTCCGACCTACTGCCCGCCACCTCCATCGCTACTCCCGCCACCC